CTCAACAAGTTCTCAGAGTTTTTCGCCTCCGCCTGCTCTCCAACCGGATGCCCTACAGCACCAGCATGTAACTTTGACTTCGCACACATCCTCGCTCTTCACTTCTTCCTCCTTTCGAAACCCAACCTGCTCTTCCACACCCCTCTCACCCTCCCGCGTGTTCCCTTCCCCTCCTCCTCCTCCTCCTCCTCCTCCTCCTGCCTCTTTCTCCTCCTCCTTTCTACGTTTTCTTGACATTGTTCTGCAGGTATCTTCAGGGTTTCGAGATCTACGGGGACCTTTACGTTCCTCCCATGTAAAATTGTGCGAGAAACTCCGCGGCGAGTAGAGGAGAAGGGGGGAGTTACGAGGAACTCTGCTGACTTGTAGAGGAAAGATCGAGATAGAGAAGAAGGGAGGGGAGAAGAGGAGGGGGGAGGCATCAGGTTGTTAGAGATGTTTAAAAGCGCGGAGATAGAATGGTTTGTTGAAGTGTAGGGAGGACAACACGTTGAAAGTAAAGAAAAGATGTAATTCGACTGGATGGAAAGCAATTGACAAGAAGATTGATCGAGAGCGATCAAAGTAACAATAGAATGAGATGATGATATATCACATCACAATCATCTCCATCTCCCGCATCATCGTCGCCATTACGTTCTCAAAGAACAACAACAAGAACGATGAATGACGAAGAACGATGAAAGACGACCACAACGAAGAATGTAGAGCAACATGTTTGCAAGCTCTGTCTCAGATCTCGATCTCTCTCGGCTGGGGTTTGACGATGTGCCGCATGCTCGCCCCTGGCTCCGATGGCTTGAAAGGCGCCATGGCGCCGTAGGGGCGAGGAAGCGCCAAGTCCTCGGGCATGTAGGCGTTGGGGCGAGGAATGGCTGGAAGCGAAGTTAGAGGAGGAGGAGCAGGAGGAGGAAAAAGAAGGAGCAGGAGGAGAAGGAGAAGGAGAAGGAGAAGGAGGAGGAGAAGGAGGAGGAGGAAGGAGGGAGGGAGGGAGGGAGGGAGGGAGGGAGGGTTACCGGTTGTCTGGAGCTCCCCCTGCATTTGCCGCACCTCCTCCTGTCGCCGTGCGATCATCTCCTGCCTCATCTCCTTCTTCCTCAGCATCCTCTCCCACTCTCTCTCCGCCTCCTCCGTGGGAGGGAGTCCTTGCTCCAACTTCATCTTCGCCTGGTGCAACTCTTCCACCTGTTGTCAAGATGAGAATGAAGAAGAGGGGCAAGAGGAGGAGGAGGAGGAGTTGAATAGAGGCAGGAAGACGTAGAGGAGTCGAAAGCACAGGAGAAGGGCAGGAAACCTAGGGAGAATGGGAGGAGGAGGAGGAGGAGGATTTGGAAGGGTCGCGAACTAGGATTTTGAAATGATGGGGGATGATGATGTGCTATTTCTCTCTGATACTAAGCTCTGCCCCCCTGGCGGCGACATTGGTGCGTTCACCTGAA